TATTAGATCAATCACAAAATCATTCACTCATAAATTGTAACGTTGAATTAGTTTATTGAAATGCAGACAGAACGACTTTTTGTGAAATCGTTCGTAAACGAGTCAGATTGTTGCATTTAATGCAGTTCGGTGAACACATGCATAGTGCATTTCTGTGTAAATGAGCTGTAAAATGTTTCATGCATGAGTATACAGTGTCTCTATTTCTCTCAGGGATTTTTCCGGAGGACCGTTCGTATGAAGCTGGAATATGAGAAATGCGAGCGCAGCTGTAAGATCCAAAAGAGAAGTAGATCAAGTGAAAAATGTTGCATTCAATTTGTTTCATAAAACTTGCAAACAAATTTTATTGAAATTGTGTGTAAAGTGATCGAAGGCAAATTGTCGCATCTAATGCAATTCGTTAAAAACATGCAGAATCCAAAATGCATGCTGTATCCCACAATGTAGATCGATTGTAAAATATTTCTTGTTGCAAGAATTTCCCAAAAACACAAGCATTTCTCTGTAAATCAACCATAAAATGTTGCATTGAATTTGATTCACAAAATACAATCAGAATAAATAGTTTAATGAAATGTGGACAAAACTTTTTGTGAAATTGTTTATACAGTCATTCAAATCAGATTAAACGCATGCAGAATGCATTTCTGTTTAAACCAGTCGTAAAATGTTTCATGCATAAGTTGCATTGAATTTGATTCAAAAAACAAAAAAAATCTGTATGAATAGTTCATAAAACCATTTTTAAGTAAAATGTTGCATGTAATGCAATACATGTAACACTAGTAGAACACATCTATCTTGCATAAATTGTAACATTAAATTAGTTGAATGAAATGTGGGCAGAACAATTTTTTATGAAATTGTTCGTAAAGTCATACGAACGTGTTCATTGAACACACGCAGAATGCATTTCTGTGTAAATCATTGTAAAATCTTAAATGCAAAACAAGCAGAACTAATTTCTGTTTAAATAGCTCAAAAAACGTTCTTTAGTAAAGTGTTGCATTAAATGCAATGTAATAAACACTATTAGATCAATCACAAAATCATTCACTCATAAATTGTAACGTTGAATTAGTTTATTGAAATGCAGACAGAACGACTTTTTGTGAAATCGTTCGTAAACGAGTCAGATTGTTGCATTTAATGCAGTTCGGTGAACACATGCATAGTGCATTTCTGTGTAAATGAGCTGTAAAATGTTTCATGCATGAGTATACAGTGTCTCTATTTCTCTCAGGGATTTTTCCGGAGGACCGTTCGTATGAAGCTGGAATATGAGAAATGCGAGCGCAGCTGTAAGATCCAAAAGAGAAGTCGGAATAAATGTCAGTTCTGCCGTTTTCAAAAGTGTCTGATGCTCGGGATGTCCCACGACGGTGAGCGAAACGACAACAGACATTAGCGAACAATAAAACAAACGTGACTTTCTAGCGTGTTGAGTGAGATTCTGTGTTTGTAGCGATCCGATACGGGCGGATGCCGGAGGCAGAGAAGCGTAAGCTAGTCGCGGGTCTGTTAGCGGGAGAAAAGAGCTCTCAGGGCTCCAGCGGGTCAGATCTGAAATCTCTCGCCAAACGGGTCAACAACGCCTACCTGAAGAATCTGAACATGACCAAGAAGAAAGCTCGCAACATCCTGACGGGGAAGACCAAGGCAAGCCCGGTAACCCGCTCGAGACATGCCAAAAGTAAAACAGCCCTGCAAATAAACACAGTTGCGAAAATGAAGCGTTTTGTCTCTGTGTGTCCTTCAGCCGTTTGTCGTTCATGACATGGACTCGCTGTGGCAGGCGGAAAACGGGCTGGTCTGGAATCAGGTGATTAACGGAGCTCCGCCCAATAAGGAGATTGGCGTGCACGTGTTCTACCGCTGTCAGTGCACGACCGTGGAAACCGTACGAGAACTCACGGAGTTCTCCAAAAGCATCCCCGGATTCATCGACCTTTTCTTGAATGACCAGGTAACGCAATCGGGGGGGGTGGGGGGGGGGGGTTATCTCTGTTATGTTGCGTAAAAAGTACAAGATTTTCAACTATGTAAAAAAAAAAAAACTGTAGTAAAAAAAAATCCAAGCTCAGTTAAACTAAATGAAGTCTAATTCACTGAATTGAAACAGAATGCAGATGTCTACTTAATTCGTAAATTCATTATTGCGCAAAGTGTTGCATTCGGTTAAATTGAAAAAGCAGAAAAAAATTTTGTGTGTATCAATCATGAAGTCAAGTGAAAAATGTTGCATAAAACTTGCAAACAAATTTTATTGAAATTGTGTGTAAAGTGATCGAAGGCAAATTGTCGCATCTAATGCAATTTGTTAAACACATGCAGAATCCAAAATGCGTGCTGTATCCCACAACGTAAATCAATTGTTAAATATTTCTTGTTTTTGCAAGATTTTCCCCAAAACACAAGCATTTCTTTGTAAACAGTTCATAAAGAGATCGCGTGTATGTAGACTAAACAAAGTCCAATTCACTGAATTGAAACAGAATGCAGATGTCGTCTTAATTCGTAAATTCATTATTGCGCAAATTGTTGCATTCGGTTAAATTGAAAAAGCAGAACAAATTTTTGTGTAGATCAAGTGAAAAATGTTGCATTCAATTTGTTTCATAAAACTTGCAAACAAATTTGATTGAAATTGTGTGTAAAGTAATCGAAGGCAAATTGTCGCATCTAATGCAATTTGTTAAACACATGCAGAATCCAAAATGCGTGCTGTATCCCACAACGTAAATCAATTGTTAAATATTTCTTGTTTTTGCAAGATTTTCCCCAAAACACAAGCATTTCTTTGTAAACAGTTCATAAAGAGATCGCGTGTATGTAGACTAAACAAAGTCCAATTCACTGAATTGAAACAGAATGCAGATGTCGTCTTAATTCGTAAATTCATTATTGCGCAAATTGTTGCATTCGGTTAAATTGAAAAAGCAGAACAAATTTTTGTGTGTATCAATCATGAAGTCAAGTGAAAAATGTTGCATAAAACTTGCAAACAAATTTTATTGAAATTGTGTGTAAAGTGATCGAAGGCAAATTGTTGCATCTAATGCAATTCGTTAAACACATGTAGAATCCAAAAAATCGATTGTAAAATATTTCTTGTTGTTGCAAGAATTTCCCCAAAACACAAGCATTTCTTTGTAAACAGTTCATAAAGAGATCGCGTGTATGTAGACTAAACAAAGTCCAATTCACTGAATTGAAACAGAATGCAGATGTCTACTTAATTCGTAAATTCATTATTGCGCAAATTGTTGCATTCGGTTAAATTGAAAAAGCAGAACAAATTTTTGTGTAGATCAAGTGAAAAATGTTGCATTCAATTTGTTTCATAAAACGTGCAAACAAATTTTATTGAAATTGTGTGTAAAGTAATCGAAGGCAAATTGTCGCATCTAATGCAATTCGTTAAACACATGTAGAATCCAAAAAATCGATTGTAAAATATTTCTTGTTGTTGCAAGAATTTCCCCAAAACACAAGCATTTCTTTGTGAACAGTTCATAAAGAGATTGCGTGTATGTAGATAAAATTATTCAAATTATTCTTGTACCATTGATTAGTTTAATGAAATGTGGGCAGAACAACTTTTAGTAAAAAAATTGTTTAAATTGTTTGTTTGATTCACAAAATACAATAAGAATAAATTGCTGTTTAAAACGTTCATTAAACAGTTCTTGAGTACATTGTTGCATTTAATGTAACGCATTTCACTTTTTGTAAAGTTGCATAAATCATTGCATTTAATGCATTTAATGCAAATCTTTGTGTGAATAAATCTTAAAGTCATTATAGCATACACATTTGTCTCATTAAACGCATTAAACGCATATATTATTCTAAATACTTCAGAAAACTATTTTTTAGTAAATCTCTTTTGTGAAACCCAAAAAAATGTGACGGTTTACGCAAGAACGCTTTACATAGAAATCCGTTCAGCTAGCTCCCCTCCGCTCCTGCAGGTGACGCTGCTGAAATACGGGGTCCACGAGGCGATCTTCGCCATGCTGCCGTCGCTCATGAATAAAGACGGGCTGCTGGTGGCGAATGGGCGGGGCTTCGTGACGAGAGAGTTCCTGCGCAGTCTGCGCAAACCCTTCAGCGAGATCATGGAGCCAAAGTTTGAGTTCGCAGTGAAGTTTAATGCTCTCGAGCTGGACGACAGCGACCTGGCTCTGTTCGTGGCCACCATTATCCTGTGTGGAGGTGATTCGTCAGCCCCTAGTGGTTCTAGATGGAACTGCGGGAAGATTGTAACAGAGTTTACGTACATAATAAAATTGGTTTATGTGTGTTTACTTGCGTCTAGATCGTCCAGGTCTCATGAACGTCCACCAGGTGGAGGAGATCCAGGACAACATCCTCCAGGCCCTCAACCAGCACCTGCAGCTCAATCATCCCGACGCCAGCTTCATCTTCCCCAAACTGCTGCAGAAGCTCGCAGACCTGCGGCAGCTGGTGACGGAGAACGCGCAGCTGGTGCAGAAAATCAAGAAGACGGAGTCCGAGACGTCGTTGCACCCGCTGCTGCAGGAGATCTACAAGGATATGTACTGAGCCGAACCATTCCAGGCACGATCACTGTGACCTTCAGCTCTCGGGCGGAGCTGTTCTTTTTATGAATCGGATGATTTGTTGCTGATGAAATCGGCGCAAACTGAACTCTAAACCAGATCGGGTCACCTGTGGCGGGGCGATGAGGTTGTGCGGCTCAAAGAGACGTCAGCGAAACACAATATTGTGCTGTTAGCTGTTCAAACACAACGGCCTCAATATCCGCCTCGATTATTTGCTGTAAACGACTTCAAATCGCAGCAGTGCATTCCCATTCATGACGGGGGCGACGATGCAGTGTTTTTTAAGGCTACGTTTACACGACAACGATGTAGTCAAAAACGGAAAAGTTTTTCCCTTGCGTTTTTAAAAAGTTTCACATATACACAACAACGTTTTCAAAACGATTCGCGTTTACACATATCCACGAAATGGGCCAAAAACGCTGTATTACGTATGCCAGGCCAGTAGTTGGCGCTGTCACCTTGTTAGTAAACAGTACCTGTAGGGAAGTGACGATTATATGATGTATATGATGCGTCTCCGCCAAAAAATCGATTGTAAAATATTTCTTGTTGTTGCAAGAATTTCCCCAAAACACAAGCATTTCTTTGTAAACAGTTCATAAAGAGATCGCGTGTATGTAGACTAAACAAAGTCCAATTCACTGAATTGAAACAGAATGCAGATGTCGTCTTAATTCGTAAATTCATTATTGCGCAAATTGTTGCATTCGGTTAAATTGAAAAAGCAGAACAAATTTTTGTGTAGATCAAGTGAAAAATGTTGCATTCAATTTGTTTCATAAAACGTGCAAACAAATTTTATTGAAATTGTGTGTAAAGTAATCGAAGGCAAATTGTCGCATCTAATGCAATTCGTTAAACACATGCAGAATCCAAAAAATCGATTGTAAAATATTTCTTGTTGTTGCAAGAATTTCCCCAAAACACAAGCATTTCTTTGTAAACAGTTCATAAAGAGATCGCGTGTATGTAGACTAAACAAAGTCCAATTCACTGAATTGAAACAGAATGCAGATGTCATCTTAATTCGTAAATTCATTATTGCGCAAATTGTTGCATTCGGTTAAATTGAAAAAGCAGAACAAATTTTTGTGTAGATCAAGTGAAAAATGTTGCATTCAATTTGTTTCATAAAACGTGCAAACAAATTTGATTGAAATTGTGTGTAAAGTAATCGAAGGCAAATTGTCGCATCTAATGCAATTCGTTAAACACATGTAGAATCCAAAAAATCGATTGTAAAATATTTCTTGTTGTTGCAAGAATTTCCCCAAAACACAAGCATTTCTTTGTGAACAGTTCATAAAGAGATTGCGTGTATGTAGATAAAATTATTCTCATGTAAAATGTACCATTGATTAGTTTAATGAAATGTGGGCAGAACAACTTTTAGTAAAAAAATTGTTTGTAAAGTCATTAAGTCAGGTTATTGCATTTAATGCAATTCATTAAAAAAAATATTTCTCTGTAAATCAATCATAAAATGTTGCATTGAATTTGATTCACAAAATACAATAAGAATAAATTGCTGTTTAAAACGTTCATTAAACAGTTCTTGAGTACATTGTTGCATTTAATGTAACGCATTTCACTTTTTGTAAAGTTGCATAAATCATTGCATTTAATGCAGGCAAAACGAATCTTTGTGTGAATAAATATTAAAGTCATTATAGCATACACATTTGTCTCATTAAACGCAAGCAGAACGTATATTATTCTAAATACTTCAGAAAACTATTTTTTAGTAAATCTCTTTTGTGAAACCCAAAAAAATGTGACGGTTTACGCAAGAACGCTTTACATAGAAATCCGTTCAGCTAGCTCCCCTCCGCTCCTGCAGGTGACGCTGCTGAAATACGGGGTCCACGAGGCGATCTTCGCCATGCTGCCGTCGCTCATGAATAAAGACGGGCTGCTGGTGGCAAATGGGCGGGGCTTCGTGACGAGAGAGTTCCTGCGCAGTCTGCGCAAACCCTTCAGCGAGATCATGGAGCCAAAGTTTGAGTTCGCAGTGAAGTTTAATGCTCTCGAGCTGGACGACAGCGACCTCGCGCTCTTCGTGGCCGCCATTATCCTCTGTGGAGGTGAGAGAGTGTTTCCGTTTCGTTGACCCCTAGTGGTTAAAGATGAAACTGCAGCAAGATTGTAAGGGATGGGCGATATCTTATCATTTGCGATATACCGGTAAAATTTCTCCCTATGATAAGAATTAGTCTTTCTGCGATAATAACGATAAAGCCTAGTTGTTGACATATTTATGTGTGCGACTGTGTGGCGGAAGGCGGACGTCAAATTGAGGAGGAGTTTATCGCTAAAGGAGGAGCTCCTTCTACATTCTGGAACTGGTTTGGTCAGGGCTGTACCGTGCACAAACAATCGGTCTGAATAAATGTAATACAGTAGCACAGTTTTGCATGTGTATGAGCCTGTTTACAAACCTGTTGTCCAACAAAGATATCATTTATTGGCATGCTTTTTCTCCAAATTAACTTAATAACATAGTTGAGTCTTTGAAATAACTTCTTTTTGTGGCCAGACGTGGTTTCATATTACAGAGTGATAGTATTATATACAGCGATAAAGGCTATGTCGATCAGTATTGCATTATAAATATACTTTCCTTATAAAAAATACCCAAGATTTCTTGAAGAACACAGACCATAGCTATATTTTGTGCAATCGTATGTTTATAGTCTTCAAGTTTCATCAGTTAAAATTTCTTTATCTCCGTTGTGCGTTTTATTCAGCAATAACTGGATGCCTTTGTCCATATTAGGGACTTCCTGGAGCGTCGTCAGTGCTATTACTTATGCGATGCATGTGGAGTTTCTGCGCAAGAGCGCACTCCGGCTTCCAGTATGAATTAAACAGTCATTACATTATATTACGTGTGTACTCAGTAATGCTCACAACACCCTATTTTGGGTAAAAATAGGAAAGATAATACATTTCTCTAAAGGAACAGGATTCCCTGAATTATCGCCATTGATATCGTTATCGCAATAAATACCAGAAAGTATCGTGATTTATTTTTTCAAGCCCATATCGCCCATCCCTAGTTTAAATACATCAAATCAAAATCAAATCTCTTTATTGTCACACATCGTGTACACAAGTATAGATGGTGAAATTCTTAGGTAGAAACAAGATATGAAAAATTGACAATATACATAAATAACAATATACACATTTTACACAATATACACATTTCCATAATATACACATAGTACACAGTATACTCAAGAGACTTATAAATGTATAGCTTTTATATATGACTTACAGTGATGTATACTGTTAGTGTTTTACTGTGAAGTTCAGTGCAGTAGTTTAAGTCAGTTCAGTACATAATTGCGCAAATAAAATAGGTGTGCTTGCATGTAGATCGTCCAGGTCTCGTGAACGTCCACCAGGTGGAGGAGATCCAGGACAACATCCTCCAGGCCCTCAACCAGCACCTGCAGCTCAATCATCCCGACGCCAGCTTCATCTTCCCCAAACTGCTGCAGAAGCTCGCAGACCTGCGGCAGCTGGTGACGGAGAACGCGCAGCTGGTGCAGAAAATCAAGAAGACGGAGTCCGAGACGTCGCTGCATCCGCTGCTGCAGGAGATCTACAGGGACATGTACTGAGTCGAACCATTCCAGGCACGCTGACCGATCACTGTGACCTTCAGAGTTGTTGTTTTTATAAAACGGACGATTTGTCGCTGATGAAATCAGCGCAAACTTAACTCTAAACCGGACCGGGTCAGATTGTGCGGGTCAAAGAGACGTCAGTGAAACGCAATATTGCGCTGTTTATACACAACAATACTCGCCTCAAATTTCTGGCGTCTTCAAATCGCAGCAGTGCATTCCTATTCATTTAAGTTGTGACAAAAGCGCATTGACCAATGAGACACTTGCAAAATACTGCAGCGCTAAAGCTATTTCGCCGTCTGAAGTTAAATACCAAAGGTTGCTGCTATTCGTGAAATCCGTTTAGTTTTATCCATTTTCATTTGTTTGGGTCGTTCGCAAGCTAGCCTTTCGTTGTGTTGCTGATAAAGCCAAAAACAACGCTAACGCAACATACGAGCGCATTGTTGTATTTAAACGTATGCGTTTGTGTTCATGTGGCGGTAACAAACCTCAGCACTGAAGGGGGCGTTAGAGTTACCTTCAAATGATCAAATTATTAAACAAGATGTGTTATTTTTTTTCTACTAGCTACATGTAAACACGTCAACATTTTTAACTAACTTTAACTAATCTGCTCAGCAAGATTCTGCTCCGTCTTGATAGTAGTTGGGCTGACTTTAATGCTAATGTCCCATATAGCGCCCCTTGTGGCGGCATTGAGAATGCAACAAGCTCTTGCATTGTTTCGAATCGTTATGAAACGCATTTCAAAATTAAACGACACATGAAACTTTCACTAATCTTAAATGCTTCAAGAGATTAAAACTAGATCGCTTAAGAAACAAAACAATGCTTAAACCAGCCTATGATGGTTTGCTGGTCTTACCTGGTTTAAGCTGGTCTTATCTGGTCTCCCAGCCTCACCTGCCCAAAACCTCTTTACAAACCAGCTACGAGACTAGCTAAGACCAGTTTAGGCTGGTTTTTCTTAGCGGGGATCGCTATTGCAAGACCCGAACAACTGGCAGAACGTCATTACAACTTGCAAACCTCGAACTTTCTATTTTTTTAAATTGTTTCTTTCTGTTTGCGTTTCTGAGAAATGATACTGTGATCACATTTATATCAGAGCTCAGATCAGTGATTGAATATCTGACTCCAGAGTTTATATTAATGTTATTTAATAACGCTTTATTAGTTGGTTTCCTGAATCAGTGGCTGTGGTCGCAACACGACGTCCCCAATCGAGCATATCATTATATAAAGCTGTTCCTGTATCGGCTGTGACCTTTGACCTCAGTCTGATGTTGTTTCCCGCGGTTGTGCTGCTAACTGGATCCTGTAGATGCTGTGAATCTGTGCCGTTTTGAACGGAGATGAATGCCAATGAAATGTGTCCATGTGAATGAGGGGAACACGTTCCTCCATCTGCACTGCAGGATGAACGACCGCTGATGTTTTCTACAGGCTTTTGTAAAACACCTGAAGAACATCTGAATAAAACTACAGGGTAAAACCTCACTAATGCATCTTCTGGGTTGATTCCTAAACATGCTTGTGTAGTGCAAACCAAACCAACATCTTTTATGTTCAAAGAGAGATTTTAGGGGTCACTGGATTATTTTTGAGGTAAGTGGTTGTTTTAGAGGGTGTGTGGGTGTTTTTGGGGTATCACCTGGGTGTGTTGGAGCAAATTTTATTTTTTATTAATTTTTTTTAAACAAGCAAATTGGCCGAAGTGTTCTAAAGTTTACCCCATTTGCTGCTTTTACACCACTAAAAATGGCTGTGCCCTATTTAAGGGTATATGGTGCATTATTCACATCGGGACTTTGGAGCACAAATCGCGAATCATTTTATTTAGATCGGAACTTCAGAGCGGGTTCGCGAATCATTTCCTGAATTGAATGATGAAGTCCCGAATCTAAATCAAATGATTCGCGATCTTTGCTCTGAACTTCGGAGACTTCGGTGCACGGGTCGCAAATCATTTAAATTAGATCGGAACTTTGGTGCGCGGATCGCGAATGATTTGATTCAGATCGGAATTTCGGAGCGGGTTCGTGAATCATTATTCAGATCGGGACTTTGGAGCATGGATGGCGAATCATTTGATTTAGATCGAAACTTCGTAGCGGGTTTGTGATTTTTTTGAAAGTTGTGGGTTCGCGAATAATTTGTGTCAGATTGGGACTTCGGAGCGCGGATCGCGAATCATTTGATTCAGATGAGCGGGTTTGTGAATCTTTTTTCTGATTGTTCTTATTAAACAGTAGAAAACATCAAACCATTAAGGCAGTGCAGTTATAAAAACAAAAGCATAAAAAGAAAAAAAAGAGAAAGAATACACAAATACAAATCTCTCAAGAAAATTAGCCATAGTAAAAGTGTAGTAATGTCTTTTTCCTTTTTTGTTTTGTTTTTTTTGTATAACCACCGTTTTACTACAAATACCATGGTTAAACTATGGTTAGTGTAGCAAAACCATGGTTAATTTGTGATTACCATGGTTTAACTAACTATGTTTATTTCACCTTAAGAGGACACACAGGATAAATATATTAAATGAGGTGTAAATTTTTAAGGTCAATTATGTTTTTGAGAGCTAGTGGGTGTTTTGAGGGTCAGGGAGCAATCTTGAGAGTGATGGAGTTTCATTGGGTGTTTATGGGGGTCACTGGGTGTTTTAGCGGATCATTGGGGTGTTTTTGAGGGTCATTAAGTATCTGGGTGTGATGAAACTATGATTGGGTATTTTAGGGGATCATTGGGGTTGTTTTTGGGGTACTGTAATTATTAGGGAGTAATCTGGGTGTTTTGAGTTTCTGGACATTTTTTGAGGGTCACGTGGTGTTCTAGGAAGTCATCGGGGTGTTTACATTTACATTTAGTCATTTAGCAGACGGTTTTATTTATTTAGAATTTAATAGAATGGGTAAGTGCTAGTTTTAATTGGTCAGGTGAGGGACATTGAGTTTTTGAGGGCAATTGAGTATTTAGGGAGTGTTTATGGGTTTCTGGGCATTTTGGGGGTCACTGGGTGTTTTAGGGGATCACTGGGGTATTTTGAGGGTGATTAAATATTTAGAGAGTAACGTGAGGTTTTGAGAGTTTTAGAAGGTGTTACTGAAGGTCATTTGACGTTTTAGGGGATCATTTGGGGTGTTTTTGAGGGCCATTAAGTATTCAGGGAGCAATCAGGGTGTGTTGGAACTTTGCTTGGGTGTTTATAGGGCCTTTCGCACCGCTTTAGTTCCAGAACTAAATGTGCGGTGCGAAAGGCCCTTTTGAGAATCACTGGGTGTTTTAGGGGATCATTGGGGATGTTTTTAGGGTTCTATAATTCTTAGGTAATTTGGGTGTTTTGAGTTTCTGGACATTTCTGAGGGTCACTGGGTGTTCTAGGAAATCATTGGGGTGTTTTTGAGGGTGATTAAATATTAAGAGAGTAATGTGAGGTTACGGGAGTTTTAGAAGGTGTTGCTGAAGGTCATTTGATGTTTTAGGGGATCATTGGGATGTTTTTGAGGGTGATTAGATATTTAGAGAGTAATGTGAGGTTACGGGAGTTTTAGAAGGTGTTGCTGAAGGTCATTTGATGTTTTAGGGGATCATTGGGGTGTTTTTGAGGGTCATATATTTAGGGAGTAATCTGGGTGTTTATGGGTTTCTGGGCATTTTGGGGGTCACTGGGTGTTTTTGTGTGTCATTAAGTATTTAGGGAGTAATCTGGGTGTTTTGGAGTTTCTGGATGTTTTTTGAGGGTCACTGGGTGTTTTAGGGGACCGTTGGGGTGTTTTTGAGGGTCATTAAGTGATTCATTTGGTGGTTTTGGGGGTCGCTGGGTGTTTGTAGGGTATCCTTAAGGTGTTTTTGAGGGACATATATTTAGGGAGTAATCTGGGTGTTTTGAATTTCTGGACATTTTTGAGGGTCACTGTGTGTTCTAGGAAATCATTGAGGTGTTTCTGAGGGACATTAAATATTTAGGGAGTAATCTGGGTGTTTCAGTTTCGTTTGGTGGTTTTGGGGGTCACTGGGTGTTTTAGGGGATCATTGGAGTGTTTCTGAGGGTCAAATATTTAGGGAATTATCTGGGTGTTTATGGGTTTCTAGGCATTTTGGGGGTCACTGGGTGTTTTAGGGGATCATTGGTGTGTTTTTGAAGGTCATTAAGTATTTAGAAAAAAATCTGGGTGTTTCGGATTTCATTTGGCAGTTTTGGGGGTCACTGGGTGTTTTAGGGGATCATTGGAGTGTTTCTGAGGGGCAAATATTTAGGGAATTATCTGGGTGTTTATGGGTTTCTAGGCATTTTGGGGGTCACTAGGTGTTTTAGGGACTTAGTGAGGTGTTTTTGAGGGTCATTAAGTATTTAGAAAAAAATCTGGGGGTTTCGGTGTTCGTTTGGCAGTTTTGGGGGTCACTGGGTGTTTTAGGGGATCATTGGAGTGTTTCTGAGGGGCAAATATTTAGGGAATTATCTGGGTGTTTATGGGTTTCTGGGCATTTTGGGGGTCACTAGGTGTTTTAGGGACTTAGTGAGGTGTTTTTGAGGGTCATTAAGTATTTAGAGAATAATCTGGGTGTTTCGGATTTCATTTGGCAGTTTTGGGGGTCACTGGGTGTTTTAGGGGTTCATTGGGGTGTTTTTGAGGTTCAATAAGTGTTTAGGGAGTAATTAGTGAGGTGTTTTTGAGGGTCATTAAGTATTTAGAGAATAATCTAGGTGTTTCGGATTTCATTTGGCAGTTTTGGGGGTCACTGGGTGTTTTAGGGGTTCATTGGGGTGTTTTTGAGGTTCAATAAGTGTTTAGGGAGTAATCTGGGTGTTTTGGAGATTCATTTGGTGGTTTTGGGGGTCACTGGGTGTTTTAGGGGATCATTGGGGTGAATGGGGCATTTTGCATCTTCACTGTAGTGTTTTTGTGGTGTTCAGATGGTGTTTAACACATCAGTGGGTTGTCTTTGAGGCTCATTGTGTGTTTTGAGAGTCAGTCGTGTTGTATCGCAAGTAATCTGGTTTCGTTTGGTGGTTTTGGGGGTCACTGGGTGTTTTAGGGGATCATTGGGGTGTTTTTGATGTTTTTGAGTTTAGGGAGTAATCTGGGTGTTTATGGGTTTCTGGGCATTTTGGGGGTCACTGGGTGTTTTTGTGTGTCATTAAGTATTTAGGGAGTAATCTGGGTGTTTTGGAGTTTCTGGATGTTTTTTGAGGGTCACTGGGTGTTTTAGGGGATCATTGGGGTGTTTTTGAGGGTCATATCATTTGAGGTGTTTTTGAGGGATATATATTTAGGGAGTAATCTGGCTGTTTTGAATTTTTGGACATTTTTGAGGGTCACTGTGGAAATCATTGGGGTGTTTCTGAGGGACATTAAATATTTAGGAAGTAATCTGGGTGTTTATGGGTTTCTGGGCATTTTGGGGGTCACTAGGTGTTTTAGGGAATTAGTGAGGTGTTTTTGAGGGTCATTAAGTATTTAGAGAATAATCTAGGTGTTTCGGATTTCATTTGGCAGTTTTGGGGGTCACTGGGTGTTTTAGGGGTTCATTGGGGTGTTTTTGAGGTTCAATAAGTGTTTAGGGAGTAATCTGGGTGTTTTGGAGATTCATTTGGTGGTTTTGGGGGTCGCTGGGTGTTTGTAGGGTATCCTTAAGGTGTTTTTGAGGGACATATATTTAGGGAGTAATCTGGGTGTTTTGAATTTCTGGACATTTTTGAGGGTCACTGTGTGTTCTAGGAAATCATTGAGGTGTTTCTGAGGGACATTAAATATTTAGGGAGTAATCTGGGTGTTCATGGGTTTCAGGGCATTTTGGGGGTAACTGGGTGTTTTAGGGGATCATTGAGGTGTTTTTAAGGGTCATTAAGCATTTATAGAATAATCTGTGTGTTTCGGAGTTCGTTTGGCAGTTTTGGGGGGTCACTGGGTGTTTTAGGGGATCATTTGGGGGTGTTTTTGAGGTTGAATAAGTATTTAAGGAGTAATCTTTGTATTCTGGAGTTTCTGGATGTTTTTTGAGGGTCACTGGCTGTTTAAGAGGATCATCAGGGTGAATGGGGCATTTTGGGTCTTCACTGTGGTGTTTTTGAGGTTCAGATGGTGTGTCACAGGTCAGTGGGATGTTTTTAAGGCTCATTGTGTGTTTTGAGAATCAGTCGTGTTGTATCAGGGCGTGAGGGTCAGTGAATGGTTCTCAAGGGTATGTTCTCTTCCTCTGAGCTGTGTTCTTCTGTCAGGTGGTTTCCTGTCCGTTACGTATATTTCCTCCTCAGCTGAAGGTCGTGACCCTGCGTTCTGTTGGATTTGTTTCCTCTCCGTAAGGTCATGAAGCAAACGCGTGAACAGAACAATCATGTGGATCTCAGGACAACACGCCCATCTGATTATGATTGTCATTACATGTGATTATTTGTGTTAGTATGTGTGTGTGGTGTATGATCTTTGTTTGTTTTAAGGGTGTGTGTGTGTGTGTGAATGTGCTCCACAGATGTTGTATGAACAATGCGGCCCCAGGGCGGCATAACTCGCCCTCTCTCCATTGTGTGTGTTCTGCGCTAGTTCCGCGTCCCAGCAAGCGGTCCGATTCCAGTCCAGATTCTGCTGTTGCTCACGCTGAGCCGGAGCGCAAAACAAAAGCATTTAAGGGTTTCAAGCAGGATTTGGTCACATGAGATGCTGAAATCTGCCTAATACAGATTAGACGGATCAGCTCTCAAATCATGGGGCTTCAGACACACATGAATGAACCGTTACGGAAACCAAACAGTGTTTTACACATTCATAAACAATGAATCTCAGCAGTCAATGAAGACGGTTCCTTAGATTTCTATAAGGTTGTCAAAGTTTAGATTTTTTTGTACAGTTGTGTAATTCAGCTCTCAGTTTTTCAGTTCTTGTACTCTTGACTCTGATATGCTCAAACACTAGTCACGAGTTCTGTAGCGTCCTCTTGTGGTCATATTTGGAAATACACCATGCATTTTAAGGTATCATTGGGGTGTTTTTGAGGGTCAAATATTTAGGGAGTTATCTGGGTGTTTATGGGTTTCTAGGCATTTTGGGGTCACTGGGTGTTTTAGGGAATCATTGGGGTGTTTTTGAAGGTCATTAAGTATTTAGAAAAAAATCTGGGTGTTTCGGAGTTCGTTTGGCAGTTTTGGGGGTCACTGGGTGTTTTAGCGGTTCATTGGGGTGTTTATGAGGTTCAATAAGTAGGGAGTAATCTGGGTGTTTTGGAGATTAATTTGGTGGTTTTGGGGGTCACTGGGTGTTTTTAGGGTATCATTGAGGTGTTTTTGAGAGATATATATTTAGGGAGTAATCTGGGTGTTTTGAATTTTTGGACATTTTTGAGGGTCACTGTGTGTTCTAGGAAATCATTGGGGTGTTTCTGAGGGACATTAAATATTTAGGGAGTAATCTGGGTTTCTGGGCATTTTGGGGGTCACTAGGTGTTTTAGGGAATCAGTGAGGTGTTTTTGAGGGTCATTAAGTATTTAGAGAATAATCTAGGTGTTTCGGATTTCATTTGGCAGTTTTGGGGGTCACTGGGTGTTTTAGGGGTTCATTGGGGTGTTTATGAGGTTCAATAAGTAGGGAGTAATCTGGGTGTTTTGGAGATTAATTTGGTGGTTTTGGTTGTCGCTGGGTGTTTTTAGGGTATCATTGAGGTGTTTTTGAGAGATATATATTTAGGGAGTAATCTGGGTGTTTTGAATTTTTGGACATTTTTGAGGGTCACTGTGTGTTCTAGGAAATCATTGGGGTGTTTCTGAGGGACATTAAATATTTAGGGAGTAATCTGGGTTTCTGGGCATTTTGGGGGTCACTAGGTGTTTTAGGGAATCAGTGAGGTGTTTTTGAGGGTCATTAAGTATTTAGAGAATAATCTGGGTGTTTCGGATTTCGTTTGGCAGTTTTGGGGGTCACTGGGCGTCCTCTTGTGGTCATATTTGGAAATACACCATGCATTTCACTTTTTAGAGTTTCACGAAGGTATAAAATTAAAATGTATATAAAAAAGCTAAAATTTTATTTAAATTCCTTGTTTTAATTATTTGCAAAAACAAGATTTAGTATGTTTATTAATATGTTGTTAAAAAAAATGGCTAGGAAAATGACTTCAGCTGCTATTTTAAACAAAATTAAATTAAAAAAACCAACTAAAAATGTAAACTAACGAATAATAAGAAATATTTTTATTAAACATAAGTGTATTAAATAATTGCATTCATTTTTATTTATGTATTTAGTTATTTAGATACAATAAGTTCATTGAAATTTCAGCATTATTAAAAAAATAGTCAGGAAAATGACTTGAAATGCCAATATTGATTAATTAATCAGTTTAATAAAGATAAAAATAATAATACATAATAAGAAAATGACTTCAGCTGCTATTTAAAAAAAAATTAAATAAAAAAAACCAACTAAAAATGTAAACTAACGAATAATAAGAAATATTTTTATTAAACATAAGTGCATTAAATAATTGCATTCATTTTTATTTATGTATTTAGTTACTTAGATACAATAAGTTCATTGAAATTTCAGCATTATTCAAAAAATAGTCAGGAAAATGACTTGAAATGCCAATATTGATGAATTAATCAGTTTAATAAAGATAAAAATAATAATACATAATAATAATAATACACATTTTTAATTAAAAAAGTGATACTTAAATGATATTTATTAAACAATTTAATTTATTCATAGGATTTTTTTTCTCTGCTATCTTGTGACCGATGACCTTTGACCCCTTTAGTCTCACGTTTGCTGCCGGGGAATGTAGTTTTGAGTTTGAGTGGCTCTGGTCTGTGGCGGTTCCACACTGAGCTGCTGTCATGCTGTGGCTTGCTGCTGCTGCTCTGGGATCAGTGGTGTTGTGTGTGTTGAGCGGCTTCACATCACCACAGATGATTCCAGATCAGTGTTCAGGCCTGACGAGCGTTAAGAAGATTATGATTGACTCTTTATCTCTGAACGGACTGCATACAAACACGGCAGCTACGGTAAGAAGAGCTTCACTCTATATTGCAGTAAATATATATGTAGTGTTATATTAGTATGTCAGTGTTTTATCAGCAGATGAGTGAATCAGGCCTGGATAATTATACTGGAATACTGGGAGACAGTGACGACAGCGATGACGGTACAAAATACACACGCTTACGAACATACCATTGATACCGTAGTATCATAATAGCATGTTTAGCGAGAAAAACTTCAGCTGGTTTTGTTCACACTAAACAGATCCAAACTCAAAGAACCTGCTGGCGGCTTCCTGGGACAGTTTATCCATCGTGGACCGACTGGGATTAAAGAGGTAAAGACCCACTGAAACACACACAGTATGCTAATGCTAACGCTAACAGGAAGTGTTTCTCACAGCTGCGTGGAGATGACGGAGGAGGAAGTGGAGGTGAGTCTGTCTGAATGTATGTTAGATGTAGATCCGAACACCTCCAGACGTCGGTAACGTCTGTAAAACACACGCACACGCAGAGCGCGTTTACCCAGATTGCAGTGGGGTTTCACTGCGACCAGTACACGCTGACCCAGCGGCTGCAGGCCGAGCGACACGACCGCAGCGTCGCAGAAGAGAACCTGCAGAGAGATGCTGCAGGTACCGCAGACACGCCTGAGATGATACTGAGGGCTGTGGGAGTGTTGTGGGATGGTTGTGGGAGCGATGTGGGAGTGTTGTGGGAGTGTTGTGGGAGCGTTGTGGGATGGTTGTGGGAGCGTTGTGAGAGCGTTGTG